GCCGCTGTGGGCGGCAGCCCCGTGCCCCGGCCTCGCACACACGCAGCTGCACGGGCCTTTCCCCCTCAGACAAACAAACAGGCTTAAATTCCCTGCGTTTCAGACCGTTCTGTGACTCGGACTCTGCTGCCAGAATGTGAATTGTAACGTGAGGTGCCTTGGCAAACTTCGTCTGCTCGTCGAAAGTACGTTTGGGAGCCGGGCATTAACTTCTGAGCTCACCCTTGCTGTGATCTTACTTGACAAGTCGCTTGGCTCTGAATTTCCAAGGAATTTCTTGGTTAGGCATGCCTCTATTTTTGTTTCATGCTGAGAGGGCTGGTTTTTTTCTTTTGCAGCTGTGTATTCTCTGCTGTGGAAAACAGCATTGCAGGGGGTCCCAATGGACACGCAGCTGGTGAGGCAATTAAATACCAGTGCTGAGTATCTTTGGTCTTACTGACATCTTTGTCTCGAGTCCTTTAACCAACCCCAGGGACCACAGGGGAATAATCCATGCAAACTACTCAAGAAAGAATAACTTGCTGGTGTTATTAACTAGGTTTTTATTGGTTTTTGTACTGTGAAAAGTTTCTGCAGTTCAGTATAATTTCTGGCACAGGTTACACAATCGGTGCAGCTCACACATAACATGTCATAGCATCCTCCAAGGACAGTAATAAATTCACATGCTCCCCTGGTGGTAGGGTACCAAAGAGCAAATATAATTTGTACACCCGCCTTTCATGAAAGACTTTGATAAATATTTCTTGTAAAATCGACAACACAGCCGTAACTTTCTCTCCTATAAGGATATGGAAACAAGCTTTTGCCTTTATAAAAGGCACACTCATCCTGAACCTCACAAACACTACTCTGATTTTGTGAGCAAGACATTCTGAGGAATTTCCTCTACATAGTTTGAGTTATGGTTTAACCATTTTCAGAGCACACTCGCTACAGTCTACAAATATCATAGAACCCATTGTGGCACCCCCAGGAGAGCTGGGCTGTCAGATGTGCCCGGTGAGGCCAGCTGCTCTGCTTGAGACACCCCGGGCCCCTCCCCAGCCAGGCACAGGGAGCTTGGGACACCTGGGAGTCTCAAGGGGGCAAGTCAGAGGAAAGGGCTCCCCCTGAACAGACACTTGTGGAAGCACTAGCCTCAGCACCCTGGGGGCCACTGCTGTCCCAGCAGATGGACCCGTACAGCCTCACTGAGGTTGAAAACAGTCGGTGTTCCTCTCTGAACAACTCCTCTCAGTCCTCCTAGCAGGAGGATTACATCTCACATTCTTTTAGAATAACTTGTTCTCCACGTGGTGGGCTCATTTCAGTCCTTCTGGAAGAAGGGAAGCAAATATCCAAGCATAGTAATGCTTTGCAAAAGGAAAACATTCTTCCCTACTCATGAGAGGAGTGGGGGGACTTGTATAGCAAGCCACGGTCTCCTCTGGAACACGAGCAAACGTCCAGGGAACAAGTACGTGCACTCTCGGCCTACCAAGGCCTCCAGAGGCTGCAGGAGGGCTTCAGTGCCGCTTGTTTTGGGGAGGGCTGGTGGGTGGAGTCGGGTGCAGAAGAACCAGGGTCCTTGGGTGCTGCTTGTGACCTCTGGAAATGGCAAATGAGCTTCATGCGGGTTTCTGTGCTCGCCGAGTGGAGAGACAGGAATTGCAGCGCTTCCTTGAGGCACCAGGTGTACCCTTCACAGTAATCCTGCTGCAGGCTCTTGGCGGGTGCTGCAAAAGCTGCAAGGGCAGAGGAGCAGAGGAGTGTTACACGGGAGGCTGGGGCTGGAGCTCTGCCTGCACGGGGGGGCAGCGAGCGCCGCGGGGGTGTGCTCACCTCGGCTGTGGCGCAGGTAGCTGACTGTCATCTCCAGGATGTCGGCCTTCTCCAGCTTGGAGTTGGGCTGGTGTCTCTGAAACTCCTTCTCCAGGAGCAGCTTCAGCTGCTCGATGCTGCTGTTAATCCGGTCCCGGCGCAGTTTCTCCACGATGGGTTTCCTGAGCTGTAACAGAAAGCAGGAGGATGGTTAGCTCTGGACTCCCTGGGACCTGCTGCTGAACGGGCCCTTCCCGGCTCCTGGCCACCGAGGCAGCAGATACTTACTCTGTTCTTCTCTTTGGCCGTTAGGATTTCCAGGGCCAGACCACTGGGTGCCATTATCCCAAGTGCTGGTTTCAGCTCGGAGCTGGCTGGTGGGCGGGTGCAGGAGGCAGCCGGGAGCTCCTCTCTTTATACCCGGCGGCTGCATACAAATGCCTGGGTCCTGGGCGACTCGGAGTTTCCCACAGTCGATAGCCAATCCACGCCTGCCCCGGGACAATGGAGAAAGCATCTATTACAGCATGGCAAATCGGCTGTGAATTGCCTGGGGATAATACCCTGCTCCCAAAGGAGCAGGTGGACTGGGGAGCGTGTGACACAAAGGGGCTCAGCGTTCCTGGGAACGTGGGAAAGCCTGTGCCCTCATTATAATCCAACTTCTGCCTGATGTTGGGAACGTCAACATCTCAATGTGCTGCCTTTTCCCAGGCTGTGCTGAAATTAAGCACAGAAGACTGATCCCAGGAAGAGATAATGCTCTGTGCCCATGACCAAAAGAGGGGTTGAAAAGGAAAAGATGCAGAATTAGAGGGACTAAACCCTTTCATTGACATTAAACCATGCTTAGATGAATACAGTACCAGATAATTTTCGGACAACTAGAGACTAAAATCGAGGGGAGAACCCTTAAAGCAATTTCTGCTAAGCAGTTAGCTTGAAATATTTTCCTCTCCATTGTTTAAATGCTTTAAGTCCCCCTGTAAGCTATATTCAGAGTTCTTCCTTGCTTTTGTTTGGGTAATTGGGCCTTCCTGCGGCAGCCCGTGACATGTAACGATTATGATGCCCTTCCCTAACGTGTCCTATTTAATTTCATGCCACTTTGTAAGTGCCTCGTGGTTCCTGTGGCCCTGCGTAGCCACGTGAAGCACCTAAATGTGTTTTTCTCTTTACAGACAACTGAGATCCTTCGAAAAGTGAATTGTTGTCAGTTAGTTTGCTTGTGTTCTCCCACTTGCAGAATGCAGATACAGGTGCTGGGATATCCTGGGACCCTGTTCAGTCTTGAGCTTTCTCGGGATGCGTCCCATGCGTATTGCAGTGGACACAGGTGATGAGGTGGAAAGGACCAGACAGGATCTGGGACTGGAGCTGCCCCTTGGAGGTGGTTTTTCCAGGCTGCTCTGGGTTGCCTGCCCAGTCTGCCGTGCCCCCGAGCACAATCCAGTACAAAGCCAGCCACGGTTAGGACCTGGCAGTCAGGCACGTGAGGCCTCCTGGTGACAGATCCCAGTTAAGATGATTTATGGAACATCCGTTTCAGCCGTGGTACCTGGAGCTCTGTGGGCTTAAGGAGAGTCATGGGCAGCGTTTTCTTTTCCCTTAATGAATGTGCCGTGGTCAGGCTAGAACAGGGAGCAAACCTAGATTGTCGCTGGTAGCCCAGTGGGTTGGGGGGGTTAGTTTTTGAATACCTGTTTCTTACTACATCAGTATGCACAAAAAATCCATTTCTTGTGTCTGCCTTTCAAAACCAGAAGGGAAGCCTTCGTTCTGCTGTCAGCTGCAGGCAGCCTCTTTCTCCTGCCCTCGGCACCCCCCTCAATAAGCCCGTGTCCGTGGCTCCGTGGACGGCAGCGTGTGGCAGCACACGTGGGGCTGTTGCCTGACAGGATACGGTCCTGCAGAGGATGATCCTGGGGCTAGCTGCCAACCTGAAGCCTGCAAAGCCCCTTTTAACTTCCTGGCTCCTCATGGCTGTGGTTTTGGGGGGTCAGCCGTTCTCCCCTCCTCCCCACCCAGCCCAAGGACACGTTCCCTTTAGATGGATCATGTAGGGTGTGACAATTTTAATTCTTGATGGTTGTCAAAAAGCTATAAGTGAACAGGGAATATGAGTCCTATGGAAAATCAGCTCCCTGAATTATTTTGTCAGCTGGTAATCAGCAGTGCTGCTGGCAGCCAGGGCAGTCCGTGGCTGGGTGTCCTGGTGCCATTATTTGGGCTTGAGGTGGAGCACGGGGCTTTGTGCCCCCCCGTGGGGGCCGTGAGGCAGAGGGGGCAGCAGGTCCTGCCACACACCCTGTGGAAGGAGCGTGCCTGGGCAGCAGCGGGCACCGTGCGCTCCCAGGGAAGCTGTCACCTCATTTTCAGTTCTGGAAATATGAAATGAGTGGTTTTAAATAATGCCATCCTATCCCCAGCACAATGCCCCTGAACTCCAAAGGGCTAAACCCACTCCCACTGATGGAGGCATTATCCCTTCCTTTAAGGGCTGGGCAGATGGTGCAGCAGGCGTTGGCGTTCTCCTCGGGTCCCGCGGAGGCACGCTCCTTTTGTCACCAGTTTAGCCGGTGAATGGGGCGATGTGGGAAATCCTGGGAGCTCTGGACTCACACCATCTGATGTGAATGGTGAACCAGGCACCAGCAAGCACACAAACAGCCGCCCTCTGGGCTCCCACACTCCCAGCTCCTCTCCTCCTCCCTCTGGCAGTTGGAAAGGCAGCGAATCTCCAGTACTGCCTCCTTCACCTACCTTCTATATACTCTTGATGGATAAAAGAGAAACAAATATCCTCCCCATTTGCTTTTATTATTAAGACCTGAAAACTTAATGGCAACAGCATTTCCCAGCTGATGTTTCAGAATAATAAATTGTCTAGAGTAAGGCTGTCTCTAGAACGCAAGGATTTCAGTAAGGGGAAAAAAGTCCTGTCCTGTAGGCAGTCCAGTTGTTCTTTGTTAAAAATCTGTAACTAGTTTTCTCATTTTGGCCTGTTTTAAAATTCAGCTGTTGGCACAATAGTCTGTCTCACTGAAACACGTTTGTGAGCCAAACCCTTGTCCCTGTCCTTCATCTCCATGGGAGGAGCTCGTGGCTCTCCGACTGTCGCCACAGAGCCGTAATGAAAGATTGATTGTCTGAAGCTAAGTGTTTCCCTGTTTTGGGAACGAAGGATTAAAAGAAACAAATCCCCCAAAATTGCCAAACATGTGCAGTTGAGTAAACAACATGACACAGTAATTCCCTTCTTTGGAGCGTGGCGTGGATCTGGAGCCGCTCCGGCGAGACGGCAGCTGGGCTGCGGGCAGGGGCCTGGGCTCTGGTGGCCTGGGCTCTCTGGACATCACGCTGCAGCCACGAGTCACAGCGTGGAGGTGCACCCTGCAGAGTCACTCCTGAGGCCAGGGAGGTGTCTCTGCTCTCGCTCACCACAGGCTCTGAAGAGCTGAAGGGGAAACGGGCCCCTGCAAGCAGTTGTCAGAGCCTGTGCCTGCAGAGCCCGTGTGCTGGGCAGGAGTCGTTGCTTTTCCTGAGCCAAACCCCACCGTGTTGGTTGTCTCCAAGTGCAGATCTCCCTGTTTGACCCTGAGCTGTGGTGCACAATCTGTGCGCCATGGATTGCTTTGAGCTGAGAAGCAGCCAACCCCAAGTCTACCATCAGTGGGCTTGTGTCCGTCACAGCCCATAAATCAAAGCTGCTGGAGGCCTGTGAGACAGGGACTGGGCCGTGGAGCTCTCTGCTCTGGAGGTGCTGATTTCAGCCCAGACTTACTACATGTGCTGTTTGCTACGACTTGTAATACCAGTTGGCAGCTTTCATAGCTCAATACTTGGCTTTCCACGGAGGGAACTCGGTGTACTGCAGAGTAGCAACAGGTCTGGAGGAAGGTGGGCTCTTGGAGAGGAGCACAGAAAACCAGGATTTCATTGTTGCACAGATTCCAAAAGCAGCGTTCCTGTATGTCTGTGGCCATACTTACAGCACGCAGCTTGGTGTCTCAAAAATTTCCTTTCTATATCATTTTTAGAGCACTTTTATTTTAAGCCATTTTCTACAGTGACGTCAGCCTGTCTCACAGGTACAATTGATGACGTTTTTAAAGAAATAATTACGATTTTTACTTTTTCTGTGCCTTCCCTAAATGCTTTAAAATCTTTCTGACAACCCCTCTCGAGACACCTATTTAGTGTCAAAGAGCATAACGTTCCCAAGTTTTAAAAGGGCTCTCGCATAATACTGATCGATCAATGTGCTCCTTGGGAAAACAGCTCTCCAGATGGTCTATCGGGACAGGAATCGCTGGTGATCACAATGCAGAGCCAAAGAGCAGCACTAATGTGGGCTGTTGTGAGGCACGCTTCCTTTGTGGTCCCTTTGAATGTCATAAATGGGGAAGAAAGTGTGGGAAACTCTGAGAAACTCAGGCCCACACTCTGAGGTTAATAGGGGCTTTGTCAGGGGAGTATTCCTGGGCTGTGGGATCAGCATAATAAACAACATCTTCCCGAAGGGTGGGAATGTGTTGGAGCAGGGGAGAGTCACCCCGGGGGACAGAGGAGTGATAAGGAGCTTTGTGTTCAGTTATTGGAAGTGATAATAATTAATAAATGGTACACACAACCTCTGCTGTGCTAGGGCTGGTGAAACTGGAGGGCTGGCTTTTGGTGCTCATGTAACGGGTAAATTAAAGCCCAGAGGGGCAGGTCTTTGGCTGACAAAAAAAACCAAAGTGTTGAGCTTGCACCAGGCATGGATCTGACTCCCTGGAGCAAACGGAGGCTTTCTGGTGGGCTTTGGCTTCTTCCCCTGCCCAGAAAGGAGGCACGTACTGCTGCTGTCCCTTGCACTGCCCAGCCAGCAGTGGGTCTGCAGCAGCAGCGAGGTGTCATCGAGCTCCTTGCATGGCCCAAGTCACAGCATCTGGCTGCAGTGGGAGCTCCTGGTCTGAAGGACAGGAGCTGTGTCTCTCCAGGGTTAGGCCACTATGGGTGGCAGAGTTCAGGGCTTTAAAGCCTGGCTGAGGTCTCACCTGAGTTGTGCACAGTGGTCGTTCCCACAGCCTGTTCCAGTGTTAGTCTAGAACTGGAGGGACTGGGTTCAAATCCAGCACTCCTCAGTTTGTGCAGCTCTTCTGTGGTTTCCTCTTTTCTGTTTCCAGTGTCACTTTTCAACACACTGCAGCGATGCTGCCACTGTGACCCTCACAGCATGGTCTCCTTGGGTGGTAGCACGTTGGCTGCAGATAGCTGTCCACAGGAGTGCAGACCTCTCTGTGCTGTGTGGGACTGTTCCCAGTCCCTGCAGTGTGTAGTCAGGTTGTGCTGTGCTTTGGGGCACACCGTGTTTTGACCAGGTCTTAACTCCCCATCCCCAAGCTGCCTTAATTAGGCTTGGTTTAAAAAAGGACAGGCATGGATGAACAGCTTGGGTTTGGCTGGGCTTCAGAAGCTGGTACTAATTGACAGACACGTCGGGCACAGCAAGGTGAAGTCACTAAGCAACCACAAAGTCTAAAAATACATCTTCTGAATTGTTCAGTAGTTCTTTAGGAAGAACCAATCTGTCTGCAGCATTGCTGTCAGCCCCCGAAGAGCTGCAGAACTGTACCAAAACCCCACCATGTGTTGCCCTGGCAGAGGGCTGAAGAGCACCCAGCCAGCCCGTGCATTCAGGGTAGAATAATAACCCAGAGGAGCCGTGTGACCACAGCAAGGTAGAGCAGCACGTTGCTGACCTGGCTGGGTGGCTCTGTGGTCCTCTCCACGTGTGTGAAGGAGGGTTTCACCACACCTCAGGGGAGGACTGGCCAGGTACAGCTCGCAGGGTTTGAGTGCAGCTTGATCCTGCCAGCTTAGCAGGTCTGAGTTTCTCAGTGCTTAACTAAGCAGCCATTTGACAAGGTCTGACAGCCAGGTTTTCCTTTTGCTGAAGGAAAAAAGGTGTAGAAATGAAGTTTTTCAAGGTCATCTCTCCCAGGGCATCTGAGGAGAGTTGAAATTGTTGGCCAATGGTGTTCCTGCTGTTACTGTATCTCTGGAGGAACAAGAGGGTTGTGTCATACACCCACATCAGTGTGTTACTGTGGTTAGATAATGGTTTTGTGAACTGATTATTTGTGCAGTTTTATTTTACTTTGAAGAGAAAGGAAAGCAAAAGGTGAATAGTCCCCACTGAGCAATGAGTGGGAACTCTTCTAAGGCAAAGTGTGTGAATGTTACTGGGTAAAGTGCTGAATTTTGGAGAGGCTGTTGGTATTTGAGGTACTCAAGGGTGGCTTTAGGATACTTTACTTGTGCTTTTCTTCCTGCTTCCCCAAATACCTCTTGAATCCCTTTCACCTCATCCCGTGTGGCCGTGTGAGAGGCTCCTTCTGCTGAAATCCTGTTCTGCTGAATGACTTCTGAAAATCTAAACTATGTACTGGAATGAAGGGCTCAAAGATGTGACCTCTCCTGGTGGCATCCCCACTGCAGAAGGAGTCCACAGGCAACACATAGTCCGGGAGTATTAGCCAGGAGTATCATTAATCATTTCAAACCAAAGGATTAAGGACTAAACACATTTTTATTGTATCATACAGTGAAGACACTAAAGCTGAACATCACACAGGATGAATACATCACAACTTTATAAAAGCTTTTTAAGCGCTTTAGCACGTTCAGTGAGTTATTATAAAGTACTTACTGCCTCCCTTCCTCCCCCTTTTCCTTAAGGCATATCACAGGTATTTATTTCCTTTACAAAAGGCATCAATTATCCCTCAACTGAGAGTAGAAATTGTTCCCTAGAGCTCTGTTATCCTCATAACTTTCTGTAAGAAGGCATACTAAAAATAGCATAGGAATTTCAGAAGAATCAGCATTTCTCAATGACATCTTTCACTCAAAAGGTAAAGAGTCAATACTCTATGATACAAAATACATTCTTCCAAGTGCTCCTTCTTTAGGAAGGTCAATACATTATCTGGAGACAATGGAGCACTTGAACCAGTGACCCAGGGAGTTTGTAGAAAGATTTCTACTGACAGCCACAGACTCGACAGCCTTGCCAAGCAGAAGTGTGGTGGAAACAGGGGTGTTTGGCTCTCTGACTCACCACGGAACTCTCTTTGGCTAGGAGCCACCAATAAAAGCAGCAAATGTGCTGCAAGATACAAACACAGTCCTTCACTATGAAGGGAAAGCACTTGGCGACCCTCATTTCTTGTGACAGAAACACAATAACCGCCCCCCTCCCAGCTTTGGAAAGCAATGTTTCCTACTTTAAAGAGGAACTATTAAATCACAGGTCCCTCTAGTTTTTGTAGCAAAACATAGAACTAAAGCAAAGTTCAGCAAAAAAAAGTGCCCCGAGGGTCTCCGGATGGCAGGAGCAGCAGCCAGAGTCTTCTGGGCAGGTTGCTTTCTGGCAAACAGAGCCGGTGGCAGAGGGGAGCTGCGCAGCGCAGGGGAGCCCGTGGCACTTGCACCCATCTGAGCTTTGCAGAAGTGCTTCATCAGCTGCACTTGAGTTTCCTTCCTGGGCTCGCAGCAGGACAGAAAGTGCATGGCCTCCCGCAGGCACCGCAGGTAGCCGCTGTGGAAGTCCTGCTCTGCCTGCCTCTGGGCCAATGCTGGAAGAGAGACAGAGAGGCAAACACGGGGGGTTAAGGTCATGAGCGAGACGTGGGACAGTGCTGATTCAGGCATTAAGCTTCTTTCAAGAGGCTGAGTCCACGAGCCTTGCTCATGGGACTACACCTGGTGTGTTAAAGCCCCTGCAGCTACAGGGGAGGGCGAGGGCCTCTGCGAGTGGGCTTTGGGGTGGGCTGTAGGTGCTCTGCACTCACTCTGCTCCTGCAGCTGGCTCTGCTGCTTCAGGTAGCTGACAGCCACTTCCAGGATGTCGGCTTTCTCCAGCTTGGAGTTGGGCTGGTGTCTCTGAAACTCCTTCTCCAGGAGCAGCTTCAGCTGCTCGATGCTGCTGTTAATCCGGTCCCGGCGCATCTTCTCCACCACCGGCTTCCTCAGCTGGAAGAGACACGGAGCAAATCGTTACAGATTCCCTGAGCCCTCATCTAATTTCCCCTTCTAGTGCCCTCATACACACACGTTCAAAGATGCTTTCTTTGGTAGGAGAGCTTTGTGATGCTGCCTACCTGTTCCCTGCTTAATTTAATTTAAAAACTTTGTATAGTCTCCTCTCTGTCTCTTTAACTTCCCTTCCCCCAGGCCACTTTCTCCCTCCTCATCTCCCCTTCCCTGCACAGCACTGACAGAGGCAGCTGGTGGTGCAGAGCACAGGCCAGCCCTTCCCGCCCTGTCGAGGGCTCTACTTACTTTATTCTTTTCCTTTGGCAGCAGTTTCTCCTCCAGGTGGATGATGAGAGCGTTGCTGGGAGCCATTCCCG